TACATACATACACATACATACATACACGCATACACACATACACACATACATACACATACTATCTATGCCCCCCCTCCTGAGTCGGTTAATTAGATGGCCTCGATCTGAAATGCTCACCAGATGTAAATATGCTTGACCAAAAGACTCAGGCTCTAAAAGCCTTTCAAACGTTTCAGGCCTTAGAGATTCCTTCAAGGAACGGCCAACCAAATCTGCAAACCTTCTTTTGGCTGGAACGGCCAACCCAGCACCAGCCTCAGGCTGGAACGATCTTTGACCTTTGCCAGGCCAGGGACAAACTTATGTTTTTTTTGGACAGTCGTTCTGGATGGGTAACCCCTCAAAAGACCCACCTGGGCCAGAATCCTTTAAGGACTTCTTGAGGGCTCCAAACACATCACTCACGGCCTATTCAACTCTCATAGCCAGTTCACCTCCCATATGCAATGTTCTACTTTTTGATGTACAGTACATTACATGGATTTGCAGCGAGTGATGCAGGTTACACCCCGAACGGAACATGACTCCTGACAGGTGAGTCGACCACTTCGGTCAGTGAGTCGACCCGCGGTGTTGTCGCAGCTGCGGTGTTTCCTTTCGACGACGCAGGTGCGGGCCGCGATGCCCCGCCAGGTCCAGGATTTGGACGAGCCCATCCAGTTGCTGAGGCTTCAGAAGGCCTCTCAGAGGCCGAGAAGCGACGGACGTTGAGAAGTGGAGACGCAGGAACCTGCTTGCAGAGTGATCAGTCGGAAGTCGGATCACAACAAGTCGGTCAAGTGGATCACAACAAGTCGGTCGAGCAACCGACGTACGGGGCTGTTGCTTTTTTGTTCAGTTGAAACTGGCCTTGAACCTTATAAACACTTCCCCTACCAAACAGTTGAGGGATGGTTCATGGTAAGGTAATAGTAAGAGAACCCAAAGGGTTTAGTCCAGGGATTCCTTTTTTTGATTGAATTGTTGAATTGCGTTGTCAAGGAACAAGCGCAAGTCGGACACAATTTAACATCAATGAACCAAGGAGGTAGATAGTGATCCCCAAATAGATAGACACATTTTCCAATACATGTTCAGTGGGGATCTACTTTTCTATCCATTTGGGGTTCTATATAAACTGTTCAGAACAACTAAGCAAATCCAAGATATACTGTAATTCTAGGGTGGTGTCGATGGACTACCTCCTTGGATAATTGTGTTTGGCATAATTTGATTATATATATATTAACGGACGGGAAGTTAGAATGCCGAAGCACATATTTGAGACGGTGAGCAAAAACGCCACCCACATCAAAATGCCACCCCATTCTATTTGTGAGGTTTTTATAAACACAATTTTTAATGTTTTGATGGGCGCGATTCTGGAACTTTTGGCGCTGCCCGGATCCTGGCTTGGCAAAGCATGCAGTATAGACTGACCAGTGACCGCTTACAGCTGTGTAAATGCATAAAGCAGTGCAATGCAGTGCATTTTATGTATATAGTATGTGATATTACAGAATCACACATTAGCATATGCATATGCACGTCGGAATGCACAAGGGCAAGAGGCATCTTGATTCTCGGGCGGAGTGCCCTCCTGGAGCTTGCCATGGAGCAATTGACTCAAGAATTGCTCAGCCTTCCAGTTGCAGGAGCTATATATGGTCAGGGACAACCCACCAGGCCTTTTGATGGTGAACCCAAAGTGAACATTGAACCTTTTCCCATCAAGAGGAGGACCATATTTACATGAATTTCCACAGCAAAGTTGTAAAGCCCATGCACCAGTTAGAATGCGTCTGCCTGTGCACCAGGAGTGCAACCTACTACGATTGCAGAGCCGCCGCCGCTCCCACCACCTCCCGACCCCCCGTCCGAGCATGAAGATGCAGTTGATGATACCAAAACCAACGAATTCAAGCTTAATCCTGACTCCAGCACCAGCAACGGAGAGGTGGCCCTACCAGCTGGCGTCAAGGAATTGAAAAGTATGTCGCTTTGCAGATGAAAGTTCACCGTCAGTCCAGAATGTCAGGCATTCTATGTGTAAACACATGGGGAGCATTCCCCTTATAAACGGGTTTGTGTTGGGCCGGGAAAACTGTGCTGTTTTGCTGTATGGCTCCTTGAAATGAGGTTCCAAGTCCAATTGGACACCCTCTTCAAAAGGAACTTTCAGATGGCTCACTATGGCGGCGACCTTCCTACCACTAGGAATGTTGCCATCAAGTTCGGAGAGCTGAGCCAGAAGATGCTGGTCCAGTTTGATTGTCGCCGCGGGCAGGAGAACGAGCGTGGCATGCTTGTTAGTGAGTAACGGCTTCTCCAAAAGAAAAAAGTCAAAAGGTTGCATTCTAACTGCGTGTTACTCCTGGCAGGAGCGGAAAAACTGGCTACAGGAGAAGGACGTGCCAACTCTCAGGAAGAGAACCGTGGCGCTGCAACGTCAAGAGCTGCAAGACCATCTTTGTGACGGGTGTGTCAGTGTTGGGCTTATGGGCATACTTTCATGGAACATTTAAGGGGCAACCATGCAGACTAGTGCACATACGCGGTTTTCACACCCACTCTTCCATACATAAGGCAGCGTTGAGAAGGAGCTTTTGAAGATTTCCTCACTGTCCCCTGCTGGGCGCATCGAGTTTGAAGAGAAAACTAAGAGCTTCCAAGCATTCTTTGATACTGGAGGGGAATCTATCCACAAGCCCTTTCCATCTCTGCGTGATTGCACTGGGTGGCTGATGAAGATGGATGTGTCCAAGAAAAAGGGCCTGTTGGGGAAGGGCATGGCGTTGATGAGTCGTCCGCCGGTCAGTGACCAGGTTCCGTGGCTGACAACCCTGCTGCTTGTTTTCTTGATACATATATATATACACAATACCTATATATTTGTAGAGTATGACACTTGGCTGGGGGAGTGTACGCATTCTATCTGCCATTGCGAGGCTATGACAAAGGCGATGAATCTCGCTCAGTCCTGCGGAGAAACTGATGTCACAGCCTTACTTGGGACAACAAAGCAGGACCTGAGTGGCCATGAAGACATCACCAACACGATTCTTGAAGTTCCCCAAATACCACTTGGTCCAAATCCTCCATCGTCAACAGTGGTATGCCAAAAGGCTGCTTTGGTCAGCTTTCAGTCATGGACTTTCAGGTCACCAGAGATTGTTGGGGTTTTGCTCGGATCTGTACAGGGGAAGAGGACAGTGGGGCAAAGCCTTGTAGTTGGAGAAACGTATGAGGAGGTCATTGGCAGCCAGAAGGTTCCGGTTGTGTGCGAGCGGGAACAGCTGTTTCCGTGTGGTGTGGTGTTCTGCGCCGGAGACGACGTGTGCAAGAATCGTGAGCGTGCTATTCACTACCTGTCGGATATCAAATCTCGTGGATTTGAAGACCCACTTTGTGTGATGGTAACTGGGTTCTGCTGAAATCATTTTCTGGAATTTTTTGCTGGCGTTTATAAATATATATATATATATCTGTATCGATATTATATATATATATATACACAGGGCTCGTTCTTCTATACACAGAAAAATTCTAAAAAGAAACACTCTTAGAATGCCACCTGTGGTTCTCTCCAGGTTGACCCTTACGAACCCGCGGAGATGTCCTGGGTGCAATTGGAGACTGGTTCCGCACAAGGGTTGTCTGCAGTGTCAGCCGTGTTTGGTCATCCCAAGCAGTGCAATTTGGCCAATATTTTGAGAATCGATTGCTTGCTGGAGACCAGTAGAGGCAGGCTTTTTGCAAAGGTTGTGAAATCCGTTGTGAGTGCCGTCAAGGAGGCTGCCCAGCCTCCACCAGCACCAGCAGAAGAGATGCAACCATACCACCTAGTAAAAATAGCTGGGGATGGCCGCTGTGGCTGGCGCGGAATCCTGGCTTCTGGTGACTTCAGCAGCTTCATATCCGTGCCAAGGTCGGGGTTGCAGTATGTCTGTCTTGGCCAAATCAACAGGCATTCTATCTTAGACTTCTCTTGATATGTACTGTATATAAACCAATACAAGTAGACTTTTTGCGAACTGTTGGAATGATGGCCTGTAGGAATGATAGCGGCTATCCAGTGAACCGTCGCCAAGACCAAATGGAAGTAGCTGAGTCCAGAGAGCTGTGCAATGATGTTTGTTCCCTGCCATGATTAGATCTCTCTCGTCTATGCATTTTTTTAGTCCTTGGAAGAACCCGCCAATGCAAAGTCAAAGGTATGCATTCCATCTGTTGTTGCTAGGTGGGTTTCCACATTGTTCCACAGTTTTGAGCCTAAGGCGAACGTGCTATGACAATATTCCCACACTTGGAGGCAACAATTCGTGATGTGCAGAACACATCCGTCATTGGTGTGATTGACTTGCCTTGGATATCTTCTGCCTTGGGCAAATCAATCCGGCTTACGGTGCATCCTGAATTGATGGTTTGGATTCGGGAGTCTGGGCATGCAGAAATGCGAGAAGATACCATCTTCGGTGACCGTTCTGCTCCCATTGGGGTCCACTTCTACCTAAGCTGGCTTCGACATGAAGACGGGAGGAAATATGGGCACTTTGATATCTTGATGCCTTCCATGTCAAAGAAGGAGGAGTCAATGATGCTACTGCCAGATGCGGCTTGGCAAAGCTGACCTGTATATAATATGTATATATATAATATATATATAATATTGCATATGTACACTCTCAAAGGATATCATATTGGAACGTTTCCTAGGCACTTGTGGGGCCTCCTCCCAATTCTTTGAAACTCTTGCTCTATCAGGCCTGCTTCCATGGAACATGTCATAATTAACAAAACCCTGGCCCCTAAACCGTTTGTGAACTGGGACAGGACAGTCCAGCCGCGGCTTCTGGGCAGGAGCTGTTGGAGGACTTGTTGGAGGAGCCGGAAGTGTTTTTTTTTTTCCATTGTCTGGTGGGCTCTGGTGCACAGATAGAATGCCAGGGTTGCTCTGTGGAACCATGTAAAAAATCGAAACAAAGCACTTGGCTCTAGCAGGCAAAATAGACCTGTATATTATATTTGTGCTCATGGCGCTCCTGTCATGCTTTGCAGCCGCTGCGGCGTTGCTGGTGGCTTCTTTCTTTGGAGATGAGAGGGCCACCGTCGAAGGTGGAAGTAATCTGACTGCTTTTGGGCTGGCCATCTTGGTCTTCCTGCTGTCAGAATGCCTGGGCTACCTTTGGGGCAAGAAAAGCATTGACTACAAGCATTGGTTAGAGCTCAAGGTAGAAAACACCCGTCTTCAGCAAAAGGTGGATGAACTATCACGCCAACTGCTTAGTCTGGAGGAGAAGCACGGAGCTGCTTCATCGTCGACCATTCAAAAAATCGTGACTGCTGGCCACATCATGCCTACAGAGATTCTTGTGGCCAAAAACAGCATGGTTTATCATGTGGATTGCCATCACGTGAGAAGACGTGGGGCCCAATTCACCAAGCTCCGTCCTTGTCTGGACTGTGCCGGCAGGAACTTGAAATAAGATGACGTATGATATGTGTGTGTACAGCCGGTAGAAAGGACCTCCGCCATAGTGGAGTTGGTGAGGAAAACATGCTGATGGATGATCTGTTTCGCCTGCGTTCTTCAAGTGTCTGTACTGTTACAACAACAGATGGAATGCATGTTTTTGAAGGAGTTCATGGTTCAGCCGGATGAGCAGAAGGGTTTCATTCCTGAACCCCCAGAGGCACAATCACCTGGAATGTCATTTTCTGAGTTGCAGAGCCTGATGATGTTGACAGTTTTCCTTCTTTATGGACTTGCGCAGGCCCCAACCACGGAGCCTACCAAGATGGAACCCACCATGGAGACCCAACAGGTAGAGGGAGCAATTGTTTACAGCAGCTCACACACACAGATGGAATGTAGGCATTTTACATTTGTATTTATTTATATTGATCTATTATGTGATATTATGTGTTTATATACAGACTCTGGTTTGGGGCCGGTATCCACCTGACAG